TTGGCACTTTTAACTATTTGAAAGTATGTACATCTTTGCTCTAACTTCAATAAAATTATGTTGCAGAAAACAACAGTGAAGTTCGTTTGTAACTTTTAAATATAGCTAGTTATACTGCGTCCTCTTTCTTCTCTATTACAATATGTAGTAGCCTTCCGTTATGTAGGTTTAAGGCTTATATTAAACGTCTAAGTTCTAAAAGAAAGAAAAGCGATCTCTGCCGTTCACATCTGACGTCAGCTTCAGTTTTTTCCGTGTGCGAAGCGATAATACGTATTCTCAAATCTCTCGAGTGTATTTTATTTCAAAGAAGATAAACTAGAAATATATGCAACGAAAATCAAAAAGATCGAATAAAAAAAGGAGTTAGAAAGGCTAAGAACATTGGCACTGAATTCCAGGAAATTAAAATCCAATCGAAAAGAATCGACTGGGTCAAGGTACAAAATATCTTAGACAAGGATTACGATACAATTTTAAACGATCAATATGAAGCATTGTATCAAACTGAAAATTACGAATTTTTTGTTAAGAAAATTAAGAACTCTGTAGCTAAATGTACCTGTATTAGAAAAAGTTTACATGGAAAAATTCACAGGAATTCGGTTCCCTGGTGGCATATCGACTGCGACCGTATAAAAAGGCAAAGGTAGGCCGCCTCCAAACGTGGGAGTATTCTAATATATTAGCTGAGTTCATTGAATACAAGCGACTACGGGCCATGGTAAAAAACTTTTCAGATATAAGAAAAAAAATGCTATCAAGGATTCGCGGGTAAACAATCAATTTACATACGAATCTTCACTATACTTGAAATAAAACTCAAATACTAAAGACTAAATAGACACAAGTCAGTACAAATAGTCTAAATGAAAACTAAAACAATCATGAAAAAATCCAGGAAGCCATTAATAACCTATGCCCAAACGAAGTTCCTAGCGAGCCGGAAAGCTTACCACCGCCGACGGCCAACTCTTTCTTTGATGAACAGTTCAAGTATACCGAATTTAACGTCGCTTTAAACTCACGCGGAAACGAATCTTTGCCGAAAATCGACGGCGTTAATTACGAGGTTTTGCATCAGCTACCAATAAAATATTACTTGCTTCTACTAGACATATTTAACATGTGTCAAAATAACACCTATCCTGAATGCTAGAAAGATATTTATGTACACTTTGTTAAAAAATCTAATAGCAACGGGCTGACCTCTCGTATTAACGTTCTGTCTATGCAAAGTATTTGAATTGATGATATCGAATAGATTGAGATGGTGACTTGAAAATAACAATGTAGATAAGTCAAAGGGCAACTATATTTCTAATATTACCATAATAACACAAGTGTGCCATGATTCACAAATCGAACATCAAAAAGAGGTTTTATTTTCACTATAAGCAGTTGTCGAACTAATCATACTAACCTTAACGAATTGCTAGCTAAAATAAATATAGTACGGGATTCCAAATGTGAATGTGGTGCTAATGTACAGGATCTCAACTACATTTTATGGCAGTGCGACAGGTTTAATACCGAAAGGAAATCCCTACTACGCGTGCTTAGAAAATTCAAACTGTATACTGTATACCCCTTTTGATATGAAAACATTTCTATTAAATCCAATGTAGTGGTAATGCGATAGATATTTAATTTTTTCAAAAAATGAGACATAAAAACATAAAAGTTTAAGAGTACAAAATCTTTAGTATACACTCGGTTATAATTACAATGAACTATTATTTTGTTTAATATGTAAGAATTATTTTTGTGTAGCTAAATGACTTTTACGAGTTAATAAAGCTTTATTAAATATAAGGAGTTGTAAAAAATAAGAGATTGTATAATAAATAATTCAAATTAAGTAGAAAAATTTATTTTTTTAAACTTTGAAAAACAATATGCTGTAATGTAGAAGAGCGAGGACGCAGTATAATTGTACGATCAAGCGAACTTACCTCTAAGTGACGTTCAATCTATATTATATGAAGTCATCATAAATCATCCCGCCAGATCGTAATAAAATTATTATTAGCCCTACCCTTTATCAATTGGAAAAAAAAATGATATCCAAGTGGTCGCTTCTGCCTAGTACTCTCAAAATTGAAGCTGTCATTAGGTATGAGCGGACTTTTTTATTTAGGACTTAAACGTGTGATATTAAGCTTTAAGTCTACGTAGTGGAAGTATACTTCATATTGTAATGTATTCGAGCGAAGACTTGATATAATCTAGATCGAACGTCACTTACAAGTAAATTCGTTTGATCTACAATTATCTATTCATATAATTCATATACGCTATGTTACATTGTCTGACAGATGGAACATTGTTTAAAATTAATAATTGATATAATTCTTATTACACATAACCCAAGGTTTTTTTTACAGAAAACTATTTACAATATTTATTATTCTTACTAGCTAACTTGAATCGCAAGAGCTTTGGGTCATTCGTTTCTAGAATCCATTAGAATACTTCATTCGTTTCACACTCGAACTTAGAGCACCAAAATTTTTATTTATAATTTATGCTTTGTTCATGTATTTTACTTCATCATTAGCATCATAGTACTATTTTGTCGTCCCGATTTTGAATGCCAATACTTGCTTTTGTTAAATGGTAAAATCTACGATTCTTAATCTTAGAAAAGAATTTGAAAAAATGAAATATCGGTTTTTCTTCTCGTTTACAAAAAGAGCAAATTATATTTTGAATAAACAATCATAATTTATGAATTTGTATAATTTTTTGTATATAGCTGTAGGCATTTTAAACCGGGAAGGCAGTGCTATTATTATTATTCATTATTTACTAATAGTATCTCCATTCAATTTTTCAATATTATAGTACTTTGACGTAAGCAGTAGTACTTTCAACTTGTTTTATTAAAATGTTATTTGTACAATATGACTCAGTACAAATTTATTTGATTAAAAACAAAGAATATTCACGGAAAAGGAACCTACTTCATAAATATATTCAGAAGTTGCAATGAATGTTACAATGCATTCGGAAGTTACAACAAATTATTATTACAATTGCACACAAAGCAGTTTATATCGACTTGTGATAGACTTTGAGGAGCACAATAAAATGGTTTAAAATTCAATTTGCTAGAGCAGTAATGCAATGTTGAAGCATAAAAAATGAGTTGATAAAAAAATCGCTTGTGTGAATTTATAATAGTGCAAATAGTGACACAGCATTTATTTTTCGTTCCAAGTGTCACGAAAACTTCATTGAAAAGTTTAACGCCGCTATAAAAAGATGAACTACGTAGTTAGGAAATAGTCCGAACGTATCGCATCGTTAGAACAATGAGAGCTAAGTTGCGAGTTGGTTGATGAAATAGCATCACGCAACGGGCTAATGGTGTAGCGCGTGAAATACGCGTAACTTTTTAACAAAATAACGAGGTAACTGGCTAATGGGTGCCTTTCGCGTGCACGTGAGTTTCTCGCCTGGCGTGCGAAAACTGACACCCTCTTTCTTCTGCGGGTCGCGGCTCGCGGCTCGCGTCGTCGTCGTCGTCGTTTCGGCCGCAAGAAGTTAGTTCGCTAGCCGGGCTTTTGCGGCGTGCGAACTCACGTGGACCACAGAGTCAGTCTCGTCCGATTTTCCGCACGCTCAGGAAATTCCATTAACGAGGTCCGTTAGAATCGTTGGCCTATGAACTGCGAGCGATTGACCGATTAACCAGAATATTTCTTTCCTAATGCTCAATTGGTATGCAAGATATTTCCATTGAAATTTGGATGTTAATCTAGTGTTCATTCACGTGTTCAACTGTTTCTCATTTCACAAAGCAAGATTTTTAGCAAATAAATATATCCCAGTTGCAACATAACAGGGTCGTAATTTTTTTCATTTGGCTGTCCAACAATCCTTGGGGTACTATTTCACTGAAAATACACAAGTTACCAGCTCTCGGCAAGTACAACGGTATATAGAACTGCCACAGTTGCTGCAAGCGTTTTCTCGGCATATGTAGTTGCTACTTTTACCGTATGAAAATTGAATCCCCGAATAAATATAAATTTTTCTCGACTCACTTTTTCTAGCCATTTGTCAGAGTTACCCAATATTTTATTTACTTCAAGCTAGTCCGCGTATTACCTACAATGTTTCTATTTAGACATTCATTTTCACTTGATACATCAATTCAGCTCCCTAGTTTGTATTGTGAATCTTTCATAAATTATGCCTAACAACAATAAATTCAATCTTCTGTATTGTACTCATTAACTTTTTAATAACAGCTTTACACATACTGTTATTGTTCAGTACTTATTCTGCATTTTCCACTCGGCATCCCGTGCTAATTTTATGAAAAAAGTTTTCATTTCATATGACTAATAGACGCACGAGGTTATATTGTATCACGCTGTTAATAATATAAGAACTAAAGTTTAAACATTTAATGCATAAGTCCACCATAAAAAATTGCTTTCGCAATAAATGTTTCAAACGGTAAAAGTAGCTAGAACTTTTACCTAACATAAAATTTGAAGTTACGGCTTTACCTGCTCGCATATAGGTATTGATTAATTGCGCAATGATTTTTTTATTACGTAATAAATTTAGATCCACAGTAATTTATATCCTCTTTCTAGAGTATCAAATGAAAATTGATATAATAAGAAGGAAATTAAAAGTATACGTTACATATTTCAATGGCAAACAACATTCTAATAACTAAATAAAAAAATTATATAGAAAAATAAACAACTGAGAATAGATAATTTTCATTATCAATAAAATATATCATCTGCATGTAAAATGATATATTTTAATCTGTCAAATGAGATAGTAAAAATTGCCGATTAATCAATGAGACGCTTTGACAACAACTCTGTTTTAGGAATAGTTTGCAGTTAACTTTTTGTATGCCTATTCTTTACATTACCGGGATGAACACGTATGTACTGCTCATACTCTTTTTGCAGTGCTATGCCTGCAGATCACGCGGTTTATTACAGCGGGGGGGGGGGGGGGGGCAATGTCGTGCCGTAAAACTTATTTCGGCGCTGGATCGCACAAAAGTGTTCTCGACCGCGTAGTAGCCGCTCGTTCCGTGCAAGACGTAATAGCTCGTAAATAGTTAGAACTCTTGACGTTTTGCAAGAGCGTAGATGTGCACCTTTCTGCTTCGCGTTCTTTAGTTTCTCCATAGACAATCCAATATGTTTAAAAGATTTTCTAACCAATTAAGAAATATTCGTTGTGACTTGCAACTATCGAAGAAAACTTTATCTAAGCGATTATTTATGCATTTCTCGTGGTAAATTTCTAGAATTATATAACAAGTTATTTTTTGTGAGCAACAGCAATTGGCTCGTTATATCTTTACTTGCACTACTTAACTTCTTACAATACGCTTTTTATTAGTCGAGGCAATGGTATGATCAGAATTTTTCCATTTTTTATCGATGAACTTGCAAAAGATGCAATTATCTGAATTGTTGCTCAGACAATATCAGACCAAGATGTATGAATCAATAAATTTTAGAAAAAACGCCTTTATTAATATACCAACTGTTGGAAATCTACATTCTTTTTTAATCCAGTTGGAAAAGCTCCGATAGTGAGTGTTATCTATCCGAATACACGGTTCGCGCAAATGAGTAAAAACAGCGAACCATTTTTTTTTACGAAAAACGAATGAGCCGACGAAAAAACAAAAAAACAAATGAATAACGGGGGTAGGTGAGTGGGCAGTTTTATGCTTATTAATCGCGCGTTGAATGCGTGTAGTATGGGTGAGCCGCGAGTGGGTGGCGCCGATATGCTCACGCGTGTGTGGAGCTTTTGGTGGCCATTAAACGCGCGTCGCGCGATATAACAACGTCACCGTGCAGTATCTCCGTTACGGCTCGGTTGGTTCGGACTGTGGCCGCGCGCGTTCGCTCACGCGTCGCTTAACATAATCCGCTGCCCGCGGCGCCACATAGATTAGCCAACGATGCCTCCTCCGAAAGTGCAAAACTAATCTGATGCACTGGCAAACTACAAAAAAGAACTATGCACAGATATTTTCCACCGTGTACATCGATTTTTTTTTTGTTAGAGAAACCAAATCTGCATGAAACCTCGTTCGACACGCGTTTTCAATCGGCTTCCGTTTGTTCCTCCTTATCGACTTTTTGTAAGCACTTTGTATTTCCAATAGCATGTAAAGCTGTGACGGTTCTTACCTTTCTTATCACTCTGGTTTATTTGTCACTATCATTTAGTTATTTAGTCTTGCTAACTATATTTTACAAAACGAGGGCTAAATGAAAGTAGCAATGTCAAAAGCACGTGCGGGTTAATTGAATTTTCAGTGAAAACTAATAATTTCTATCAGATAAATCTTCAACAAATATGTCAATGTTTTATTAATTTCTTAATCTTATCAAAGTGATCTTTCACTCGAATACACTGGATAAATATAAAATCGCAATAAAGTTGCTGAATTGTTTGCATGAACTACTATCAGCTCTGGTATAATTGAATCGTTGAAATCGTTTCTCTTTCGGTCGGAGCACTTTTGCGGTCGTTCCTTCGAAACTCCGTTTTGAGTAGATACGACAAAGTGAACCGCGAACGAGCTGCCATTTTTCATACCGTCTATTCTTGGCGTAGTATTAATCAAACTAGGGTATCTTGCGCCCCTTGAGACAAGATATAACTTTGCACTTCGCTGTTTCTTTTTTATTCTTTTGACGTGTTTTTTCTTACTTTTTTAGCATTACCCGAACTGTAGAAACGACCGCTGTCTCATTTCTCGTTAAAGTTGACTCGATACACCTTTTAAGAACAGATTCATGGAAATCATTATTTCAAGAATTACTGCTCAGCTCAATCATTCTCATTTGACAACGAAACTAACAATTTAGAAAATAACAGAAAATGTAAAAATTTTCAATCACAATCACGACTCATAAAGACGATTCCAGTGGTAGGAAGACTGTTGACAAGTATAGTAATTATGACAATAATTACGATGTATGTATAATATTGTGCTCCTCAAAGTAGCTACGTGCCAGAAATAATATTTTCTATTGTTAAGATCATTTGTTTAAGCCGTCTCTTATTCACCAGGCTTCAACTCACACTCTCATAAATTATAATTGGAATTTTATACTATTTCTTGAACTTATCATCAATGAATAATCAGCTGATAAGATTAATAACAATATATCTGAGTAATACAAACATATAAAATTTAAAATTCTTACGAAACCAGCCATAAATGATTAGATAAAAAGAAGTTCATGTATTGGCGAGCAAAATTTATTTATCCAACTGATGAAATGATAGATAGACAATAATTTACTTTTAAATATTCATCAGTTCCAAAAATATTTCATGTAATCGTCTTTTTGTCAAATTCATGGCAGTTTTTGAAAAAAGTTCTTATCCGAAGGTGTAGTACTGTGCACCGCACATAGTATACGATCTATGTAGCAGATGACAAAGATTCCTTGGAAAAATTGATCGGCTCAGTCATCAACCGAATGATCAAGTTTAGCCTCTTATTGTATTGCGAGTCCTACGAATGCATTATCCGACAGCAATATTTTGCGAAACGAAGCTTACGGGTAAGTAGAAAAATTAGAGTAGCATCGCCATGAAACAACGAGGAATCCGTATCAAAGGAAACTCATTTTTACATCGTCACGCTCGAACGCGATCCCTGTCGCAGAAGAAAGAACAGAGAGTATCAAGCACTTCGTCCTCGCGTGGCAGCACGACCGATCAGTCAGTGACGGTCTACGTTCGATCAGATTGTGCGTCGATTCCGTGCAGAACGTGGTCCAGCCTGGGCAACAGAATTTTTTCAGTTCACATAATCTACCGTTCGAACGTTCGTGTTTTCTGCTTTAATCCCTATTGCCAGCGATTTCCATAATTTAATCCGAGAATTGGTAAATGCTCAGATGGCTTGAGATATAGAGTGGTGACAAGCACTCGATGTACATACGAACCAATATAAGCGCCAGTCCTAGATGAGTCGCTCAATTGGCAGCCTGGGGAACATAAGGCGGAATATAGGGCCCGGTGAGTATGTACTGCACAGCAACGACCATCAACTGTGGCGCACTCCACCTGATGATGTATGAGCTTCCTGAAACAGAAAATGCATTTCGCCTGTTTATCCAGCAAGCAACAGCAGACTTGCTCGTCTTTGTGCTGTGTACACTGTCGCGTGTCTCTCTGTGGTCTCGTGGGATAGAAGGATAAAGGACACACGTGCGCGTGGCAATTGGAGAGCTGAAATGATCGTAAAAAAGTTTATGACGCCCTCGCACACGCATCGTCTGTGTGAAATATGCCCGGATGAGCTCTAATGCTACTACGCATTATTACTGAAAACTTGACTTTATAGGCCGTGAGAAACACTCCGACACCGAAGAATGCGCTTATTTCTTATGGAGCTGCTAAATAATAGAGGTGCGCGTGAAAGATTGTGATGATCCTCTTTCTCGACCGGTAAATAGGAATTATTGCCGAGCGAAATGTTAACGCGTTGACACCGGCATGATCCGTAAGTGGGTCGTATTTTTCAATATTTTGCTTTCGAATTTCCGAAAAAAATGCAATATTCATCGCAAAAAAAAAGCTTTCCAGCAATGCTACATTTTTAAAATGAATTTTCGAACAATGCTTCGTATTTGCGTATGTCTTTGTACATTGAATATTCACCAAGTAGCATACTGCAAGTTTAATCTTGAAAAGTCGCAGAAATATACGCCGTCGTATTGATGTTACTTGTATTAAAGTCATGTTGTGTGCTTTTAATGGTGCTTAAAAGACGCAAAGCTTAGTTTGGTGAAAAGCCTCGCAACTATTCGAGATGCCCAAAAATTGTACTCACGACGAGAACTCCAATCTAAAGGTTAGATTAATTCAGAACTGTAATAAGGACAGGTATGAAGGGATTCCTTCGTAGACTGTGGCATTACATAGGCATGACGTAGAGCTAAAAAGAACGCGAAGGTCGGGCGAACAGCGCGAGTAAGGATAAGATTTGGATTTTGCAGTAAGTTTCAAGAAAATCCTCTAGAGTGCGTGTTTACGCTTTTGCTCTGGCAGTAGACGACAAGTATTGGTGTTAGTCGATCGTGAGACATTGAAAAGTCGCGTCTTTCTTCTGTTGGCGATTTCGCCGTTAGATGAAATCCGGTCTTGTGCGTTCGTATTGCCACGCGGACGCAACTTATAACTCCCTCAGCGACTAGGGGCCAAGTGCACTTTGGCATTATCTCTATACTCTTGCCCTTCGTGTTCTCGTTTTGTAGCTGTTTACTTTTTCTTCTCTTTATTTCCTCGCGTCGGCCTTTCTCTCCGTGTCGCTTTTGCTGTAATCTTTAGCGTGCAGTTACTTTCTCGAGATTTTCCTCCGTCGCTACAGCAGTAGCACGGCTCCTCTGCCTCTCCAAACGACTATATCGGAAGTTTTATCATTTTATTGGGAGCGAAGTTAGTGTTAAGATAAGCCCCGTGCGCACTGTGCGCCTCAATAAACTTACGAATGTCTCATTATTTTTAATGATACGTTGGCCTCAATCAACGAGCAGTTCAAGATTATATATTATGTAACGATCAACATTTCATCTCGAAACTAACTAAGCTGGATTACATTTCTAATCAAGAATGAAAACAGAAAGAAAAATTATTTTAGTTTTGTCAATTTTTCATGAGAAAATCAAATTCAACATTTTTAAAGGCAAGAAAAGAGGAAGAAAAATAATGAGGCATCAGCTGCCGCTGCTGCATTATTTTATGATTCCATAAATTAATATTTTGATCAAGCTCGGACCGGCGGATACTCATCATCTCTGTTGTATGGCCGAGTATCCTACCCAGGCATCACCAACACACACACACACACACACACACACACACACACACACACAGTAGGCTTAGATTATGCGCTATCGCTTTAAATATCTTATGCGAAGCAACGAAGAGTAAAAGAGGGGTTGGTTGAAGAGGAGAGGCGAGAGGGGTGGCTTTTCGTTTAAGCGAGTTTATGCCGCATCGTCCTCTCTCTCTCTCTTTCTCTCTCTCTCTCTCTCTCTCATACACACACATACACATATACACACAGGGCGTGCCATGAAGCTACGAAAGCCCTTACGCGTAGAAACGTCGGCAGCGCTTCGCTGCTTCTGAGATATACGAGAGCTTATACACTCGCTTGTGTAAAGCCGAGCGGTGTTGGAGAAAAGAGCCGCGAGGCACACACATACACACGCACCGTTGCGCCTCTAAAATCGAAGGAGAGCGAAAAAAACAGAAAGCTCAAAAGCACAAGACACAGGCGCAGACAAGATGTGGCGAGAAAAAAATATATACGAGATCAAAAGTACGTAATTACTTAAAAAAGAGGCTGCTTACTTAATAAGTAGGTCAGGCCCCTTATTTTTCCACGCTTTCGTCTAATGCCTCAAATGATTCACTTTTTTCGCGGTGCGTTACGTAGCCGGGAGCCCATTTTGAAGCGACTTGCGCGCGCACAGTTAATTTAATTATTCATGAACAGCCAAACGTTAAAAACGGGCTCGGCCAACTTAACGAGATTATTCAGCGACCGAATACTTTATTTACAGCTGCAGAAGCAACCTGCTTACCAACGTTGCCCTCGGTATGTTTAACGATCTCTTGTATAAAGCAAGTAAAAGATCGATCGATAGATCTTCAAACGCTTGTCATCTTTAATTTATCGTCACAAATCAAAAATCCTGTGCTCAGTTGCATTGCGTTACGATTATTTCGGTCATCTTTACATCCTATTTCGTTGATCATTCACTTACTTATAGTAATGGACCTTTCTCCTATAAACTTTAGTCCGAAAAAACCAAGCGAGAGTTTAAAAAAAGAGCCTCTCGAGTACGTGGGCATCGCATAAGAGCCTGAAAGTTAACGGAGCGTAACGTAGTTGCGTTACTGCTGCAATCCCAAAAGTGAAATCTTTCACTCGACCTAAACACTTGAATCGCGGACCTTAGTTTCCAGCTCAGAAACGCGGAATCTACAAGGCAAATGAAAATTCAGGATGGTGCGACAAGCGATGTGCGCAGTCGTTGCACTTTGAGATCCTTTATTTACGGTTATTCGATAATAACGGAACGTGCTTAATTAGCCGCTTGTCAAGCTGTCGCCAACATCGACTATAAGTAGGTTAAAGCGTGTTCGCGCTAACATAATAAGTTAATGAACAGTGCAGATTATTTGGAATAGCAACAAAGTTTTTTGGATCCAGAGCTGCGAATAATTTTGAACGCTAGTCATTTAACTGTCTTGCTAAGAGATATCGAATGTTTGATTTAGAAAGAATAGCAGTGTATGAAGCAATATCGGCCAAATTATAATTTCAAATTGTCAAGCTTGATATGACTACAACTAATTTTAGCACATATTTTTGATGTACTTTAATCTCAGTGAATTAGTTAGCATTTGTTCAAAGTGGACACTAAATTTAGTTTGCAATGTTATTTCGTTTCTAGTATGCATTTTTATATAGTATGAGAAATCATGCAAATTGTAATACAGCAATTGAAATGCAGCATTCAACATTGTTTGATGCAAGCTTTCTACAGCATATAAATCACGAATTTATTCGTGCATGCTACTGTTTAATTCGGATGGTAAATGAACGAAAGTTAGTTACATCGTTACATCAAACATGCAAAATAACAAAATGTATCATTAGCGTATTCGTCTATGGTTTGAGTTGAAAATATTGATCAAGATAAATGTATACGAATGATTGAATTAATCCACGACAAATCTATCGTAGCTTATTGTATATCGAACAGAAACTTGCGCGCGGGAGATGCACGTATAAGCGTTTGCGGCGCGTACATGCGGATTATGATTATGAGATTGAGTTTCACGATTGCTCGTCTATATATCCTCGCGCGTACATGCATATATCGAATGCCTCTCTAATTAATTACGAAATTCCCCGTCGGTGTTCGGTGCCCGCTAATAGCTGTTATACAGAAAGTTTGACCGATTCCCAAAGTTATTTTCAAAAGTAGCAGATGTATTTGCGAGCAACTCAATGACCTCGCACTGACAAGTATCTTTTTAATCGGATTATCTCGCTTATTCCTAGCTATGTATACCATGTCGAATTGTTATCCGAGAAAAGTCGATATTGGAAAAGCCGGCTATCGAACCTTAGTCAATTATTAGTCCTTTAATTACACTGCTGTGTCCATAATTCCAAAAACATGAGCGCTTGACTTATCACAATGCTTTAAATTTGTTGTATCAAGTTAACAACCAGACAAAAATACACTTCGTCATTCAATTACTTATAAGTTAAAAGTGGAATATATATTGATAAGCATTTCAAGATGTTCATGCACTTTCGAATAAAACCGAATAAGTTGTATCTCTTATTCCAAAGTTTCACGCTAAAGAAGTGATCGGTTTCAATACGAAAATGACACATTGCTACAGCAGTCGAGAAAGTAACAATGACGAGAATGCAAAGTCACTGGGTAAACATCATGGAACTATGGCTGCAGAAGGTCGGTCGTGTCCCACGAGGAAAACTTATTCGTCTCGACAAGAACCTAATCGTCTCGGTCGTAGAGAGAGAGAGAGAGAGAGAGAGAGAGAGAGAGAGAGAGAGAGAGAGAGAGAGAAAGAGAAAGCAGCGCGCTCGCGCTCGATCCATTAATTATACCACTCGCGCGGGATTAGGTTATCCAAGGGAATATAGCACTGCCATAAGTGCCGCTGCGGCATTTCTCCTCTCTTCCCTCGGCACATACAAGCTGTACGTAGCAGCAGGCTGCGCTCGCGTCTCAGGAAAGTTTCAGCACTCTCGGGGACCGTCTTGCTCTCTCTCCCTCCAGCCATAAGTGCGTGCTCATTGTAGCGTCGTCTCGCTCTATTGCGATTTACTGCGACAAGCCGGCCAGGTAAGCTTCCCTCCACCCTCCTAAAACTTTGCTCCTGCCTCTCCTCTGTCTCTACGTTGTTTCTCTGCAGCTAGTTGTTGAACGCCTCCAACCCTCCCCTTATGACAATAACGCGGACGAGGCAATTATGAATCTTAACTCGTACAAGCTGCATCAACTCAGCTTATGTCTCATTAGCTCCATC